GGGACGGCCGGCGGGCGGGCGGGCGGGCGGGCGGGCGGGCGGGCGGGCGGGCGGGAAGGCGGGAAGGCAAGACGCTACTTTAGAAACGTTTGTCACAGCCCCTCGTTTGTTGTCCTCTTCTCTCTCTCTGCCTACGGTTTACCGTAGGCAGTTCTGTTTGTGACGATATATATACACTTCTCCGTAGTGATCACTCGGGCAGCCAAAAAGGCCCTCGCTACGGTACGCACCAAATGTGCAAAATGTGAATGAATCTTCCCGTAGAACATGGAAATATACACCGGTATATTTTCTGTCTTTTCTCCAATGTAAGGAGCAGGAGCCCCTCGCTGTAAGTGGGACTTGGGCCCCAGGACAGAATAGACAATCTGCCAGAGCACGACATTGGACCCGATGCATTTCAAAATCTCGGCGGATGGCGGAAGGAATCATGCCTTTTTTTTTCTTTTTTTTTTTACTCGAACAGGGCCCAGTGCCCAAGGCAGTTACATAATCACGACAGGTTGTCCTGCCCAACCACAGGACACCGGGGCTGGGTCCCACTCGCACGAATTAAGAGATACTGACCGTAGATAGCAAAGATCAACGGCCGAAATCTCCCAATCCGTGCAAGTGAGACCTTTCCCCCGGAGGCCCATCCCTGCATACACAGTATCCACACTCTTTACCCTAACGCCGCACCAGCCCTGCTACCAAAACAGATCACCACTGGCATGACACTCCTTAGAGTCCTAATCCTACCGGTAGCACAGCACCAACCCTACTACGAAGACCGTGGCCATCCCTACCAACGACCAATCCACATACAACACCCTACATACTCAAAAAAAAAAAAAAAAAAAAAAAAAAACTACCAACTGAGAAAAAAAAATAAAAAATCGTAACACAATCCAGCGGCCTAGCTCAGTTGGTAAGGCACGCAAGTGGCATTCAGGAGGTCGTGGGCTCAATCCCCAACGGCCTCATGTACCTTCCTGGGCAAGCTTGCCGCCCGCCACCTAGAGATATGCCGTTGGTCCCCCCGAGTGGCATTAAGCAGAGACTGCTGATGTTCATAGGGGGAGGGGACCACCACCGGAGGGGAGGCACCGTGACTGGCCCATCGAAGAAGCTCGGTCCTGATGCTACCATCAGGCTGACCCCTGGCCGGTATCGCCCACCTGCTGTAGCAGGAGGTATCGCACCTGCTGGTGGGTGCAGCTCCGGCATGTTCCCTCGTTGGAGGCTTTAGCACGGATGTGGCTGCTACGGGTTTCCCCCGTAATACTATAATGACAATAAAAAAGGCCTGAAAGGCCGTCCTGTCCAGATTTGACAGGTAAGCTTTAAAAAAAGAATAAAAAAAAATCATTGCCCCCCGCGAATAGAACACACGG